GGACAGCCCAAGAGGGCCCCAAGACGGCCCAAGAGGCGCCCAAGATGGCCCAAGAGGGCCCCAAGACGGGCCCAAGAGGGGGCCCAGAGGGGGGACCACGAACCGCAAGCTCGAGCCTTCCGCCCCAAGAGGCCGCCAGGAGGCCCCCAGGAGGTCCCTCAAGAGGCCCCAGGAGACCCCAGACGTCCAAGGACGCCCCCAGGACGCCCCAAGAAGCCTCCAACATGCGTCCCAAGAGGGCCCCTAGACGCAAAAATTGACCCATTCCCTTTGTAAAACGTACATTTTCAACCAAGTCGCCTTTTGGGCTTTCCGACGTTACAGGACGGCCCAAGAGGCGCCCAAGACCGCCCCAAGACGGCCCAAGAAGCTTCCAAGAGGGCCCCAGGACAGCCCAAGAGGGCCCCAAGACGGCCCAAGAGGCGCCCAAGATGGCCCAAGAGGGCCCCAAGACGGGCCCAAGAGGGGGCCCAGAGGGGGACCACGAACCGCAAGCTCGAGCCTTCCGCCCCCAGAGGCCGCCAGGAGGCCCCCAGGAGGCCCCTCAAGAGGCCCCAGGAGACCCCAGACGTCCAAGGACGCCCCCAAGACGCTTCGCGTCACCAATTTCTTCCCGCAGCGATTCCTGGGTCTGTGACTCGACAGAACCTAAGCGCGCGCGAAGCGCGCGCGTGGTTCTAGTAGTCGTAGTCGTAGTCGTAGTCGTAGTCGTAGTCGTAATTGTAGTCTGAGTAGTAGTAGGAGTCGTAGTAGTAGTAGTCGTAGTAGTAGTAGTAGTAGTAGTAGTAGTAGTAGTAGTAGTAGTAGTAGTAGTAGTAGTAGTAGTAGTAGTAGTCAGTTAGTAGTAGTAGTAGTTACTTAAAGTAGTAGTGATAGTAGTAGTAGTTAGTAGTAGTAGTAGTAGTAGTAGTAGTAGTAATAATTCGTTGATTGTAGTCGTCGTAGTGTAGTCGTAGTAGTTGTAGTAGTAGTTTAGTAGTAGTAGTAGTAGTAGTGTAGTAGTAGTAGTAGTAGTAGGTTAGTTAGTAGTAGTAGTAGTAGTATAGTGTAGTAGTTAGTAGTTAGTTAGTTAGTAGTAGTGGCAGTAGTAGCCGTAGCAGTTGTAGGTAGTAGTAGTAGTAGTTAGTAGTTAGTAGTAGTTAGTAGTAGTCGTTAGGAGCAGTAGTTAGTTCAGTTAGTAGTGATAGTAGTGTTGTCTCGTAGTAGTAGTAGTAGTAGTAGTAGTAGTAGTAGTAGTAGTCGTAGTAGTAGTAGTAGTAGTAGTAGCAGCAGTAGTAGTAGTAGTCGTAGTGGTAGTAGTAGTAGTGATACTAGTAGTAGTAGTAGTAGTAGTAGTAGTAGTAGTAGTAGCAGTAGTAGTAGTAGTAGTAGTAGTAGTAGTAGTAGCCATCGTAGTTGTAGTCCGAGAAGGTATGGTCGTAGCAGTCGTTTGCAATGTAGTAGCAATAACAGTCGTTATCGGGGTAATCTTTGTAGTAGGTAGTAGTCGTAGTATTCGTAGTAGTAGCCTCTGCTTCTGGCAGAGTGGCCGCCGTGGCCAGGAAGGGGACTCTCGCCAGAGGGCGGCACTTGCCAGGGGGCATTGGCACGCGGGCGTGAGCCGAAAATGGAGAGGCAGCAGAAGCCACGAACAACGTGAGAGGAGGCATGGACTCTCTCTCTCTCTCTTTCTCTCTTTCTCTCTTCTCTCTTCTCTCGTCTTTCCCCTCTCCTTGGCCCTTCTTTGTTCTGCAGCTGCTCGTCCACGAAGGCCGGTCATCGTATAGCGGCGTTTTACCCGGCAGGTGGCAGCGCTTGACGTCACACATTGAGCAATTCGACGAAGGAGCATCGGAGAGAGTAGGGGAGCAGCATGAAAAACAAGATGGCGGGGAAGCCGGGCTACCGACATGCCCCGAGGAAGGGATAAGTGGCTTCTGGGTCTGGGAGCTGATCCCTCCCTCCTCTTCCACCTCCTTCAGCCTTGCGGCCGCCAGGAGGAGGGGGGGGGCGATTTTTGTTTCAATGATTCCGTTGGTTCTACCAAGCGGGTTCCATGGGTTCATCCTCCTCATTCCCTCTTACTCAGTTTTCTTGCGTCCTCCATCCTCCATCTTACACATTCCTCAATCGTCCAAGCTTCACTCTCTTCCATCCTCCCTCCTTCTGCCGCCTTACCGCGGTTTGGCCAATCATCGTACGTCTTAGGGATGCTGTAGCAGCGAGTACGCTGTTGGAATGACGACATCTCCCATGCTTCAGCATCCAATCTTAATCATCTTCTGCCTCATTCGCCGTGCCTTCAGTTCCTTTCTCAGCATTCTCAACCCCCATTATCCAACATGATCTTCCTTCTCATTCCCATCGTCTCCTCCCCCTCTAACGTCATCCTCCACTCTGCATCCTCCACTTTACACTTCCTCAACCTCCGTCGTCCTGCAGTGTCAATGCTCAGTCTTCCATCCTCTGCAGCATCCTCCTCCGTCACCTCGTCCCCTATCCCCTCAATCATCCATCCTCCTGATTCCCGCATGTTGCATACTCCTCCTCCTTCTCCTTCTCGTCCTCAGCCCCTCCTCCTCAATGCTCCATCTCTCTCCTCGAAAAAATACCTGGCGCGGGGCCTGCTCACTTTTGGAAAGCTTCCTCGGCGTGGGGAAGACTGTAACTCCTCTATCGGCGCTGCGTTCCGAAACCGTGGTGGGCCCGAGAACGGACTGCGGCCCTCAAGGTTTGCGGTCCGTGGGCGTCGCGGGCGAGAAGTTCGACTCCGCGGCAGCGGTAAACGCCATGGACGACATCGTGCTCAAACACCTGTACAGCTTGGAATGCCAGGTCGGCATCCGATCCTCATTGGGCAGAAGTGCTAGGGGAAGGCCATCACCCCCTTCCGTCCGGCCGAAGGGGGCCCCAGAGTCTGTGCTACGCGACGTCGGATTTTGGGCAGTCGCGCCATGACACGAAATCTCATCGGCCGCAGATCCATGGCCCTCCCCCAGCGTGCTTGCCTTGGCGAGATTCGGCGCCTTCCAGGGGTCAGATGGTCGCCAAACGGAACCCTGGGTGGAACGGCACTCTCTTCACAAAGAAGGGTCGAGCGCCGCTCGGGGCAATCTACTACTTCATGATAGTCTGGTCGGCGTGTGTCGTCGCGTTCTTCAGACACCACGTGAATGTTACGCCCGACGTGGTGCTGGAGCCTTGGATCAACATGGAGGCAATCCCGCTGTTGCTGATCTCTGTGGGCCTGATGTTTCTGGTTGTCTTCCCCACGCAGACAACCTACCTGAAGTGGAACCAGGCGACCAGGAGCGTCTAACAGGAGATGAGGAATAGGTGTGTGTGTGTGTGAGAGAGAGGTTGTGTGTGTGTGTGTGCGTGCGTGTATGCGTGTGCGGATGCCATGGTTGGGCTCATGAGATCTCCCAGCATTCTGCCCCCCTCTCCGTTCAGCACGTTCCCTGGCCCCCCCGTCGTCGGCGCACATGCCTTGGGTCATGGTGCTTTAACCTTCTCCTTCCTGGCCCCCCCTTCGGCGCACCCGACAGGCGAGGACCGCGTGGAGCCAGGTCAACGCGTCGTGCCGGGCGCTCGCGCTCCAGTCCTGCGTCTATCCCCGCGCTTCGTCGCAGGGCGTCGCCGCCTGCCCCCTGCTGGGCATCTCGGTAGGGTGACGGGGGAGAGAGAGAGAGAGAGAGGGAGAGAGAGAGAGAGGGAGAGATAGGGAGTGAGGGAGGGGCCCAAGAAGGGGCAAGAGAGAGAGAGAGAGAGAGCGAGAGCGAGAGAGACACAACCAAGACGGACATGCGTGTCCGGGCTGGCAGGGGCAAGCGCTTGCTCAGCCATTTGAGGCCGAGCACAGCCTATATGTGTAGGGGGTTCCATACGCAGAGCTCCCTCGCCTGGTGCTTCTTCATCTGGGGCCCTGGCGTTGTTAACCACTTGTGGCGCCCCAGTGGAAGTTATTGATTGTGGCCGCTGCAGGCTGTCCCTGTCGACCTGTCGAGGACCCTGCTGCCGCTCGGTGGCGTGATGATTTTGGGCGCCTTCTCCTCCCCTCCCTCCTCCCCGACGCGGGATGAGGAGGAAGAGGATGAGGTCGAGTTGGAGGTGGAGGAGGAGGAGGAGGAGGAGGAGGAGGAGGAGGAGGAGGAGGAGGGGGGGAGGGGGAGGAGGAGGAGGAAGAGGAGGAGCTTGACATGGAGGAGGAGGAGGAGGAGGAGGAGGAGGAGGAGGAGGACGAGGAGGAGGCGAGGGAGGAGGAATGAGGAATACTGAATTTTGAAATGTGGATGCCTCCTGCCAAGAGGAGGAGGAGAAAGCAGTAGCCTTCCCCTCGGCGGGACCAGCGGGCCTGAAAGACCTGGACGCCGCCAGCTCGGTCTGTCGGCGCCCCGGGCGCTGCCGGCCGGCCCACCGCCGATCCTGACCGGCCGGCGGCATCCGCGGGTCTGCCCACGGCTCGAGACTATTCGGCCCGATTCGATCAGTAGAAGAGGAGGGGCCGCGCGGATTTTTCTTGGATCGGCGCTGGACCCGCCTGGCGGCTCCTCCGCCGCCGCCCTCGGCGCGCTCCGCGCGCCAGGGAGGACTCCTCCCTGGCGCCGGGCCCTCCTGGAGGGCCCAGCGCCGATCCAAGAAATCCGCGCGGACCTCCGACAACTATATTGTTGTTGATGATGATGATGATGATGATGATGATGATGATGATGATGGTGGTGGTGGTGGCGGTGGTGATGGTGGTGGTGGTGATGGTGTTGATTATGATGATGCTGATGATGATGGTGATGATGATGATGCTGCTGATGATGATGCTGACGATGCGCATGAAGATGAACATGATGATGCCGTCGCCGCCGATTATGATGATGATGATGATGATGATGATGATGATGATGATGATGATGATGATGATGATGATGATAATAGTGATGGTGGTGGTGGTGATGCTGATGATTATGAGCATGCTGATCAGGGTAACAATGATGATGCGGGTAACAATGATGATGCGGATGTTTGTTCTGATTGGTGCTACTCGTAGCAATACTCTTATTCCTATTCCTCATATCAATATCAATTGTGTTGCTATGGTTACAAAATATTGCAATTTTCATACTTACATTTGTAAATGTAGCGGTTAGATTTATCACTGCTGGGGTCACCATCATTGTTGCTATGTTTATTCAAATGGCTACGCTTGTCATTGCTACTCGTATCATTGATACCATTAATAATCAGAACCTTCATTTATTCGTATCACTTCTACTACTACTACTACTACTACTACTACTACTACTACTACTACTATACTACTACTACTACTACTACTACTACTACTACTACTACTACTACTACTACTACTACTACTACTACTACTACGCTACTACTACTACTACTACGACTACGACTACGCTACTACTACGACTACGGCTACGACTACTACTACTACTCTACTACTACTACTACCTACTCCTACTACTACCTACTACCTACTACTACTACTACTACTACTACTACTCTACTACTACTACTACTACTACTACTACTACTACTACTACTACTACTACTACTACTACTGCTGCTACTACTACTACTACTACTACTACTACTACTACTACTGCTGCTGCTGCTGCTACTACTACTACTACTACTACTACTACCCGTTGTTATGTGTGTTATTATCCTTACTACTGCTTCTACTATTCTAGGGACGGGCCGGCCGGTCTGTCAGGTACTTCTCTTCGACACGATCGGCCCCCCTGGTCCGGAGCGCCCGCGCCCATTCCTCTCCCGAGCCCTCTTGGTCCACACCCAGGCCCGACGGGGGCGGTGGCTCCGCCCGAACCCCCGGCATGGCGCCTGCGAGCGCCTTCCATCTGAGCGAGGGGCCGAGGAGACAGCCTCTCCCAGAGCGCGCGAACTCTCGCGCGTGCTCGAGGGCCGCGCCCCGGCGGGCGGCGCGGTCGGCCAGGCGGGCGAGCGGCAGCGCCACCGAGGCCCGCTATACCTCGGTCGCGCGCTCGCGCTGCCCGTGCGGCTCCTGGCGGAGGCGGGAGCCCCTCGCCGAGGAGCCCGGCGCCACGGGAGCCCCCTCTCGCCCCCCCCCCCCTTCCCTTTACGGCCCCTGCCCTCCCCCTCCCCCCCTCCCCCCCCCGCCCTCCCCTCCCCTCCCCCCCTCGCCTCCCCCTCCCCCTCTCGCCCTCCCCCTCCCCCCCTCGCCCTCTGTCCCTCCCCATCCCTTTACGGCCCCTTCCCCCCGGCGGCGCCAGCCATCCGCCTGCGGGGGCCACGTCCAGACATGTCCGGGCCCATCCTGGGCCCAGGCCCAGGAGAGGCTTTGGGCAGGATGGAGGGTCGTCGTCTCCCGACTTCTTCCTCGACTCCCCCTCCCCCTTCCCCACTCTCCACTCCTGCACGACTCGCGTCCGACCCGGCCGCGCTTCCCCCGCGGCCGTCCCAGATTGACCGCAGCGGCGAGCCCAGGATTGGGGCAAGGATCCCCGCCCCGCCCCCCCCGGGCTCCCCCAGGCCGCTCTCGAGGGCGGTCACTTCTGGAGGGGCGATTTCGGGGCGGTTCTGGAGCGGTTTTCTTTATCTTTCTTGCTCTCTCCCTCTCTCTTTCTTTGTCCCTCCTCTCTCCATCTCTCTTTCTCTGTATCCTCTCTCTCTCTCTCTCCCTCTCTCTCTCTCTCTCCCCTTCCGCTTCTCTTCCCTACCCTCTCTCGCTCTCTCCCCCTCTCTCTATACATATATATATATACATATATGGCTACCTCACTGTAGCTCCATCTATCTCTGTTTTTCCCAACCATCCTGTGGTGTTGGGTCCTCGTTTTGAAGAGACGGTCCTCGCGTTCCTCCTTCCTTCCTCCTCCCCCTCCTCCTCCTCCTCCTCCTCCTCCTCCTCCTCCTCCTCCTCCCCCTCCTCCACCTCCTCCCTCCTCCCCTCCTTGCCTCCGCTCTCCGCATGCCCATCCCATTTCGGCACACCCCTCACACGTTTCGTGGCCCCATGGGGAGCTCCACCTAAGGCCCCAATGGGAAAGTTCGCATGGCACCGCCGCCCCATTTCGGCACACCCCTCACACGTTTCGTGGTCCCATGGGGAGCCCCACATAAGGCCCCTTGTGGGAAAACTCGCATGGCACATCCGCCCCATTTCGGCACACCCCTCACACGCTTCGTGGCCCCATACGGAGCTCCACTTAAGGCCCCATTGGGAAAGTTCGCATGACGCCGCCGCTCTATTTCGGCACCCCTCACACGTCTCTTGGCCCCATAGGGAGCTGTGCCGAAGGGTCTCAGTGGGAACGTGTGCACGGCACCGCTGCCCGCCCCATTTCGGCACACCCCTCACACGTTTCGTGACCCCATAAGGAGTCCCACCTGAGGCCCCTGTGGGCAAGTTCGCATGGCACCGCCGCCCCATTTCGGCACACACCTTACACGCTTCGTGGCCCCACAGGGAGCTCCACCTAAGGCCCCAGTGGGAAAGCTCACATGGCACCGCCGCCCCATTTCGGCACATCCGTCAAACTTTTCGTGGTCGCATCGGGAGCGCCGCCTAAAGCCCCAGTGGGTCAGTTCGCATGTCACCGCCGCCACATTTCGGCACACCCCTCACACGTTGCGTGGCCCCATAGGGAGCTACACCGAGGGCCCCAGTGGGACAGTTCAGCATGGCACATCCGCCCCATTTCGGCACACCCCTGACACGCTTCGTGGTCCCATAGGGAGCTCCACCGAAGGCCCCGGTGGGAAAGTTCGCATGGCACCGCCGCCCCATTCGGACACACCCTCGGACGTTTCTTGGCCCCATAGGCAGCTCCGCCGAAGGCCCCTTGTGGGTAAGTTCGCATGGCACCGCCGCCCCATTTCGGCACACCCCTCACACGTTTCGTGGATCCGTGGCGCCGCTGCCCCATTCCGCCACACCCCTCACACGCTGCGTGGCCCTATAAGGAGCTCCACCTAAGGCCCCAGTGGGAAAATTCGCATGGCACCGCCGCCCAATTTCAGCGCACCCCTCACACGTCTCGTGGCCCCATCGGGAGCTCCACGGAAGGCCCCAATGGCGACGTTCGCAGGCGTCCTCCCGATGCATGTCGGCGCACTATTCACACGTTTCGTGGCAGAAGGCTATACCGAGTGCGCTACTCGGAGTTTGCGCGCCCCCTCTTTCGTCTCATCTCCCTCGCGGCATTCGCAGCTGCATATTGTTGGGTCGTTCGTCAGGCTAAGGTTTTGTAGCCGAAATGCCTCTCACGTCGCCAGGAGCACGTCTTCACCCAGGAGGAGGAGAAGGAGGAGGCGAGGAGTTGTATCCCCTTCCCTTTCCCTCAGCAGGAAGGAGGAATGCTGCGGTTCATTGCCCTCTCTTTCCGCCAGGAAGGAGGGGGGAGGGGGGAGGAGGAGGAGGCGGATGATGAGGAGGAGGAGCAGGAGAAAGATGAGGAGATTCCGTCGCTCCCCTTTCCCTCAGGATGGAGGAGAAGGAGACGATTTCTTCAATTTCCTTCAGGACGGAGGATTGGGCTCATTCCCTGCAGTTGTCCTCAGGAAGAGGGGGATTATATTCCGTCCCTCCCGTCCCCCTCAGGATGGAGGAGGAGGAGGATTGAATTCTTTCAATTTCCCTCAGGAAGGACGAGGACGAGGTTTATTCCCTTCATTTTCCTTGGGGAAGTTGGAGGGGGAGGGGATTCCATCATGGAGGACAGGAAGTGCTTTCCTGTTCCTTCATGAAGGAGAATGGGGAAGGAGGTTCATTCCCTTCATTGTTCCTCTGCACGGGGAAGGAGGGGAGAGGAAGGAGGGGGATGAGGAGGAGGAGGAGGAAGAAGGATGATGATGATGATGATGATGATGATGATGATGATGAGGAGAAGGAGGAGGAGGAGGAGGAGGAGGAGGAAGAGGATGAGGATGGTGAGGACGAGGAGGTCGAGGTTCCTTCCCTTCCCTTCGAAGGAGGAGGATGATGAGGAGGATCATTCCCTTGTTTGTTCCTCCAACAAGGGGGGGGACGATGAAGCTGCGTTCCTCGATTTTCCGTCAGTGGGGGGGTGGGGGAGGAAGAGGAGGAGGAGGAGGAGGAGGAGGAGGGCGGAGGAGGAGGAGGAGGAGGAGGAGGAGGTGAAGGAGGATGAGGAGGAGAGGAGGAGGCGGAGGAGGAGGCGGCGGAGGAGGAGTTGGAGGAGGATGAGGTTCCTTCTCTACCCCACCCCTCCGGAACGAGGAGGAGGAGGAGGAGGATGAGGTTCTTTTCCTTCTCTGTCCCTTAGGAGGGAGGAGGCGGAGTCGGAGGAGGAACAGGAAAAGGACACGGCTGAGGAAGTTCCGCCCCCCCATTCTCCCAGGATGGGGGGAGAGGTCATCTCTTCCTTCCCGTCAGGAAGGGAGGAAGAGGTTCATTCCCTTCCGCTTCCTTCAAGAAGGAAGATACGAATATGTCCTTCCCTTTTTCGTCACGACGGAGGAGGAGGTTGATTCCCTTCTCTTCCCTACAGTAGCGGGGAGGGGGAGGAGGAAGGCGAGGAGGGGGAGGAGGGGGATGAGGAGGAATCTGATGATGGCGATGATGATGATGATGATGATGATGAGGAGGAGGAGGAGGAGGAGGAGGAGGAGGAGGTTCCTTCCTTTCCCTTGTCCCTGAGAAGGCAAGGAGGAGGGGGGTCCTTCCTTTCCCTTTGCCTCAGGAAAGACGAAGAGGCTGATGACGATGGTGGGGAGGAGGGGGTGCCTTCTTTTCTTGTTCCCTCAGGGCGGAGCAGGAGGACGAGGAAGAGAAACAGGATGCGGAGGAGGGGAAGGAGGAGGAGATTCCGTCCCTCCCCTTTCCTACAGGATGGCGAGGGAGATTCTTCCGTTTTTGAATGAGGAAGAGGAGGTTCGTTCCCTTCCCTTTCCCTCGGGAAGGAGGATGAGATTCCTTTCCCCCACCCTTTCCTTCGCGAAGGAGGAGGAGGTCCATTCCCTTCCTTCCCCATCAGCAGGTGGGAGGACGGAACGTGGAGGAGGAGGAGCAAGAGGATGATGACGATGATGATGATGCTGATGCTGATGATGGTGATGATGATAATAAAGATGAATATGATGATGATGATGATGATGATGATGATGATGATGATGATGATGATGATGATGATGATGATGATGATGATGATGATGATGATGCTGATGATGATGATGATGATGATGATGATGATGATGATGATGATGCTGCTGGCGACCACGATGCTGATGATGCTGCTGATGGTCATGATGCTGATGAGGGTGCTGATGATGAGGGAGGAGGAGAAGGTTCCTTCCCTTCCCGTTCCTTAAGAAGGAGGAGGGGTGCATTCCCTCTCCTTTCCCTCAGTAGGGAGGAAGGGGGTCCTGTCTTTTCCTTTGCCTCAGGTGGATAAGCAGGAGGTGGAGGACGCGGAGGAGAAGGAGCAGGCGGAGGAGGAGGATGGGAGGAGGAACACGAATTGGTTCCCTTCTTGGTTTTCAGGAAGGAGAAGGAGGGATGGGAGGAGAAGGAGGAGAAGGTTTCCCTCCGAAGGAGGTGGGGGACGAGGAGGAGGAGGAGGAGGAAAAGGAGGAGGAACTTCCTCCTTTTCCCTTTCCCTAAGACGGAGGAAGCTGATGCAGTCCTTTCCCTTCCCTCCCCCCCAGGAAGGAGGAGGAAGAGGAGGAGGAGGAGGAAGAGGAGCAGGAGGAGAAGGAGGATGACTGTTGAAAACGCTGTGTTTTACAATGTTCTGGCTTCGGACGGTAAGCAATCATTGCCACACGCAGCGTCTCGGAGGTCGGACAGCTGAATACGGTGTATTATGTAATGCGTTTGGTTTCGGAGATCAGAACACATTGTAAACCGAACTGTTTGGGATATCTGACTATTGAACGCAGTGTGTTTTACAATGTCTCTGGTATCTGAAATGTTCAGAAACATTGCGTTGACCAGTGCTTGCGAGGGTTGGCAACCGAAAACGTTGTGAGGTTCAATGCGTTTTGTTGTATGGTGCCAAAACACTGTAACACAAACGGTGTGTTCGGACGTCTGTCTGCTGAAACATTG